AAAAAAAAAAAAAAAAAAAAAAAAAAAAAGTTGAGGCCTGAGAAAAACTGGAGGACTGCTTTGAAGTTGAGGGAAGTGACAGGTTCTCTGGCCTATGTTAGAAGGAAGTAAGGGGTTAGGACTACCAAGTTTTAAAAGAGTCTTAGATTGTTAGAACTGCAAATAAATGTATTTGATGCTGGTGTTAGAATTTTACTGGTTGTAGAGTCATGTTGAGACCCTCCTCCCACTTCCACCAAGTGACAACACAAACTTCTTTTTTGCTGTATATCTGTTCTTTAACAGGTGCATCAAAATTCTGGTGGTACAGGCTTCAGATTTTTTGTTACTTCTGTTTACTCACCAGCGCCTGACTATTCTAGGCATCAGCCTCTTGCCCCTATTTACTTTTGCTTAGACCATTTCATGAGTCTTTAACTGGCCTCCCACTTCGGATTTCCCTCATCTTCCAGCTCCTGTTGCCAGAGTCATCTTCCTGATTGCTGCTCTCTGGCCCCAGATCTGCATCCAAAATGAAGTGGGAACTCCTTAGCTTGGTATTCAATGCCCTCCAGGGTCTAGGCCCAACCTGCTTGTCTGGTTATCTCCTGCACCGCTCCCTCACTTACTGGAGGCTCCTGGGAATACCATTGCAGCCGAAATATTTCTCCCTACAAGTTTCTTCCTTGCTTCTATTTTTTATTTCAACACCTATCTTCTCTTCCTACCCCAATCCACTTTTCTAACTGCCTAACTGTTCAGAATACAAGACCAAACTTTTCCATGTCTTTCCTCCTCTGTTCTTACGGCACTCCCACAAATCTTTATCTTTGGAAAAGGAGGAATCGCCAATCATAATTTTTTGGCTTACATATTGAGGTCAGAGAGCTAGTCTTACTCTTTTTGCCTGTAGTCCTAGGCATATGGTAGAGTCCAGCAGATATCTAAGTGAATATGCCTGTTAATGATTGTAACTTTCATTTATTGAATGCCTATTATGTGCTAGACTCTAAATGCTGTAATACTTAAGTTGATTAGAGGCTGGGCGGAGTGGCTCATTCCTGTAATCCCAGCACTTTGGGAGGCTGAGGCAGGTAGATCACCTGAGGTCAGGAGTTCAAGACCAGCCTGGCTAACATGGCGAAACCTTGTCTCTACTAAAAATACAAAAATTAGCAGGGTATGGTGGTGCATGCCTGTAATCCCAGCTACTTGGGAAGCTGAGGAAGGAGAATCGCTTGAACCTGTGAGGCGGAGGTTGGAGTGAACCAAGATTGCACCACTGCAGTTCAGCCTGCTGGATGGGAGTGAGACTCTATCTCAAAAAAAGGAAAAAAAAAAAAGTTGATTAAATCATCACAACAGTCCTGTGAAGGAGGTGGTATTACCAGGTTTACAGATGAGAAATGCAGGCCTTGAGAATTTTTTTATTTCTTAAACAGTTTCGCTCTTGTTGCCCAGGCTAGAGTGCAATGGCGTGATCTCGGCTCACCAGAACCTCCGCCTCCCAGATTCAAATGATTCTTCTGCCTCAGCCTCCCGAGTAGCTGGGATTACAGGCATGTGCCACCACGCCCAGCTAATTTTGTATTTTTAGTAGAGATGGGGTTTCTCCATGTTGGTCAGGCTGGCCTCAAACTCCTGACCTCAGGTGATCCACCTGCCTCAGCCTCCCAAAGTGCTGAGTGAGGGCTTGAGAATTTAAGGAGCTTGCCCAGATTACACAGCTAGTTAAGCTGCAGAGTCAGGGCTGGAACCTAGGCCTGCTTGCCTGCAAAGCTCACTCTTGTGTACTCATACTTCTGGCACTTGGCTTTATGTTGTTGCTATTAAGATACATTCTTGTGTCCTTGATAAGATTGTGTGTTGTGCTCATGATTTAGGGTCAGGCCCATGCAAATCTTGGTATTCCTAGCATAGTGCTGGCATATGGCAGGTGTTCATTCATTACATGCTTGCTGAATGAACTTCATTCTTCTGTGCCTACCTCCACCTTCCTTTAGGAAAAGAATGACATATTTTAGTATCTTCCATATATGGAAAAAAATTTCTTTAGAGGCAGGGTCTTGCTCTCACCCAGGCTGGAGTGCAGTGGCACTATCATGGCTCACTGCAGTGTCAACATCCTCCTGGACTCAAGCAATAATCCTCTTGCCTCAGCCTCCTGAGTATCTGGGACTACAGGCACATACTGCCATACCTGGCTAATTTTTAATTTTTTTGTAGAGATAAGGTCTTTACAAAAGACTTTTATTTGGCCTAGTCTATTTTTATTTTTTGAGATGGAATCTTACTCTGTCACCCAGGCTGGAGTGCAGTGGCACGATCTCAGCTCACTGCAACCTCCGCCTCCTGGGTTCAAGTGACTCTCCTGCCTCAGCCTCCCGAGTAGTTGGGACTACAGGCATGCTCCACCACACCCAGGTAATTTTTGTATTTTTAGTAGAGACAGGGTTTCACCATGTTGGTCAGGCTGGTTTCAAACTCCTGACTTCGTGATCCGCCCGCCTCAGCCTCTCACAGTGTTGGGATTACAGGTGTCCAGACGGCTTATTTTTTAATTCCTAGTGGCATTCAGTAAATATGTGTTGAGTGAATGAATGGTGGTAGGGCTGAAAGAGACTCACTTAAAGGATTTAGCTCTAAGGTATCTGTTTTTATTGAAGATGAGCTGACTATCAGGAGCCAAGCTCTAGGTTGTTCAGAAGAGATTCTAGGCAGCATATTGGAAAGCAGTTCAGAATTAAAAGCTATATGACAGCATCATTGTCTGCCTTCAGCATTTTATGCAGATGTGTCCAGATCAGTTGGGAAGGAAGTCACTTGACATCTATTTAGCTAGTATTTATTGAGCACCTGTGTTGACACCGGGCTAGGCACTATCTTTGTAATCTATAACACAAGTCTGTAGAGCAATAGAGCAATGTACTTATTTAAAAATTGATTTGTCAGACTGGGCGTGGTGGCTCACACCTATAATCCCAGGCAGGTGGATCACTTGAGGTCAGGAGTTTGGGACCAACTGGCCAACATGGTGAAACCCCTTCTCTACTAAAAATAGAAAAAATTAGCTGGGTGTGGTGGTGTGTGCCTGTAATCCCAGCTACTCAGGAGGCTGAGGCAGAAGGATCACTTGAACTCAGGAGGCAGAGGTTGCAGTGAGCTGAGATTAAGCCACTGCACCCCAGCCTGGACGATACACATTTATTTTATCAAAAAATAAATAACAAGTGCTCGTATATGATTTTGTTTTTAATGATCACAATCCCTTTATATGGCAGAGTGAGACATTTGATAGACTCATGTTAGAATTGCTGAAGAAAGTAAGTGGAAACTAATAATGCAGACCTTTCCATCTGATCCCTTAGTGGAGTTCGTTGAATGCTGCATCCTTTAGTAGCTACACACCCAGTGCTTTCTTACCCTCCCGGTCTATCAAAATAACACTACTAGTCATTGTTGTCTTTTGAGGTGTTGTGGAGGCTCTTGTAACCTTAAAGGTTCTGTTCTTTTCATCTCACACCCTTGTTTATATTCTTAAGGCTTACCAAGTCAGCCAGCACTGGGTTTTTAAAGTGTCATTAAGTATATGATTTGACCACAGAGCAAGGGTGGAGGTTGTATCTAAACCAAAGTATTTCAATTGAGTGAGTCCAGATTATTTGGTGAAACTCTTTTACTTCTCTAATAATAATGCCATCTTATTTGAATAAAGCAGTTATTCAAAGCCTCTTTTGGTTACTAGATTTAAAAGAATCTGCTGAAATCTAAGGAGCTATTCCTGAGAAAAATGCACATAAATAATTTTGCATATAAACTCAGACTATTTATGGATCTGCTTCAGAATATCTGGTACAGAGGTTTACACTTCAAAGTGTTACTATGCACACTTTAAATAGTTGAAGCCTTAGTAGGTTTTTAAAATTTTGTTATATGGCAAATTTCTTTCCACCAGTATTTGTTATAGTGGAACATATTCCTGTGTTCCTCCTTACTGATTTAACCTTTAAAATATTTTTTCTGGGACTGGGCATGGTGGCTTATGCCTGTAATCCCAGCACTATGGGAGGCTGAGGCAGATGGATCACAAGGTCAGGAGTTCGAGACCAACCTGCGAAACGTGGTGAAACCCCGTGTCTACTGAAAATACAAAAATTAGCTGGGCATGGTGGAGCACACCTGTAGTCACAGCTGCTCGGGAGGGTGAGGCAGGAGAATCGCTTGAACTCTGGAGGCGGAGGTTGCAGTGAGCCGAGATTGAGCCACAGCACTCCAGCCTGGACGACAGAGTGAGACTCAGTCTCAAAAAAAAAAAAAGTTTTCTGTTCCTAAAGCAGCATTCAGAAGTGAAACTACTGGTTTGTATACAGTTTTTCCATTTGCTATCTTTGGGATTATTTGATATATTAAGTACCTACTCAGTAGTTGAAAACACTGTCAGATACATTATTTTCATTTACTATAGTAATTATATGGTTTAAATACAGTTGTCCATTGGTATCCTTAGGGGTTGGTTCCAGGACCTTTGCGAATACCCAAGTTCATATATACTCAAGTCCCAAAATCTACCCTGTGGAACCAGCATATATGGGAAGTTAGCTCTCCATATTCACAGGTTTCACGTCTCACAAATACAGTATTTATTTTTGTATTTCTCACAAGCTTTTTTCTCTTTAAGGAGCAGGCAAAGTTGGGTAAATGCTATATTTTTTATTGCTTTTGGTATAAGCGGATCTGCGCAGTTCAAAGCTGTTTTGTTCAAGGGTCAACAGTAGTAGTGTTCCTGTCTTACAAATGAAGATGCTGGAGGCTGAGAGGTTAAGCAAGCTGGCTAAGATAATACTAAGAGCTAATAAGCCAAGATTGTAATCGAGATTGTCTCTTCCCACAATCTGTGGTCTTTTCAGAAACGAATTTTCATTTTAAAAAACATACAGATATCTTTTTTCTCTTCTTTTTTTTTTTCAACAGACACCTGTCTTTAGCAAAGTTTATACCTTTTAATAATAAAAAAAACAAGAAAAGCAAAGTATATACCTACAAACATAACCTTAAAGAAAATTAAGATGAAAGCGAAACTACCTAACATCCTGCTACTCTGGCAAATCAAACTAGGACTTTTACCACATTTCTTCACAACTCAGTGTTAAAACAGATGCTCTGGTGGTGTGAAGGGAAAAAAGCTGCTATGAAAAAAGGAACAGAAAAGTTTAGGGAGGTAGCTGATAGGATAAGTATATATGTTAGAGTGTGGGACTCAAACTTGACTGATTCCTGGGTTTGGCTCTAAAGTCTCTTAAAAATCCGTTTGTTATAGGTAAGTCTTACAGCAAAACCTCACTGGAAAAAAATAGTGGACTCCATGTGACATCTTCCTTTATTTGGTTACAGGGAGACATGTGACTTTTGTCATCCGATGTATCACGTTTGTGTTGAGCAGTATGGGTTGTGGGAAAGAGCTTAGGAATGCTTGGAATTAACTTAAACTAGAAAAGGGACTGAAAAATAACATAGGAGAAAAGACTGAAGAAAAGAGAAAAGGAAATGGAGGGTTGTAATGAACCCTGGGTAGTTGAGCAAAGAAAGAGGAAAAAGGGGGAAGAGGGGAGCTAAATGATCTCTGAGGCAACTCAGTCTCATGGTTGCCTGAACTAGTCTATACTGTGGGAAGAAGTAGACTACTGATTTCTTTGAAGTACCAGTGTACTTCTTGCTTTCTATTCCTAGTCATAGACAAATTTACCAGTAACTTGAAACTATGTAGTGCAGTTTCTTCTTTTTAAGCTGCATTTAAATAATTATTAGTAGCACTTGGACCTTTGGTTAGAGAATCACTGTTTAATTATTTAATTTAAAGATTTCACCAGCACGGAAAACCCATTCTTTATATGATTGGGGAAAATTATTAGACTTGAGATTGTTTTACTTTTTAGCACTGTCTAAAGGCAGATTTTTAAAGGTGGCATATAATGCAAGTCTGCCTTTCTTAGGATGATTGAAGTTACATGTTAATAAAGTTCTTGGGGAATCTAGCATACAATGCATTCAGCACTGTAAATCACAACTTAATAATGCTTGCCTTGATATGCTCTGTTGCTCTGAGGAAGTTGTGTGCGCTGTTATCTCCTGAGAAATCCCTATAATGGTATTAGTAATACTTTATAAGTAGGTTGGGAGAATGTAGTTTTCTAAGGCATTTTGAAATTCTTAGATGAAAGCCTCTTTATGTGGCAAATTGGTGCCAGCCTGTTTTCCTTCCTCTGAGCCAGGAGAAAATAGGCATCATAGGGTGGGAAGGGTTGGCTTGTCTTTCAGAGTTCTTTTATAAATAGCTTCTGTTGAATTTAAAGTGGATGCCAGAAGCTCCCAAGAATATCGTTGAGTGTAAAAGCAGACTTTTTGGGATTTGGGTCTTGGAATGCCTTTTATTTATTTATTTGAGACAGAGTCTCGCTCTTGTAGTCCAGGCTGGAGTGCAGTGGTGTGATCTTGGCCCACTGCAATCTCCGCCTCCTGGGTTCAAGCGATTCTCCTGCTTCAGCCTCCTGAGTAATTGGCATTACTGGCGCCCCCACTACGCTAGGCTAATTTTTGTACTTTTAGTAGAGACAGGGTTTCGCCATGTTGCCTAGGCTGGTCTTGAACTCCTGATCTCAAGTGATCCTCCCGCCTCAGGTAATCTGCCCGCCTCCTAAAGTGCTGGGATTACAGGTGTGAGCCACGGAGCCCGGCTGGGTCTTGGAATTCTTAACTGTATTTTCATCTAAGATTTAAAACAGATATAAAAACTAGTTTGTAATTCGCCAGACTTGGGAAAGATATGGTCCTTTAATGATCCTGGGTCTCAACTTACCTTTCTCTCATTTTTCCTTTATTTCAGAAGAGGGATAAGAACTGACTTTTTCTGAAAAGCAGTCAACTTTTACTTTCACTGTATAGGATTACTTCCATGAATATGTTAACTTAATCTTTGCTGTCAAATAACTTGCAGTAGATGCTGGGACAATTTTAAATCTATTTTAATTTGCACATTCAGTACATCAGTCATCCATGTAAAAACAGCTATGTTTGGAAGATCTAAAACCCAGCTTTTGTTCTTGAGAAGCCAACAATGTATGTAATATATATGTACAACTAACCATAATGCATCATGTTTTTTGAAAAATGCATGTATCTCCCAGAATTACTCCCTAGTTAAAAAAATAATTGTGAGCAAATGGTAATATAAGGATTTTGGAGTAACAATACCACTAGATTTTGCTCTTTGTGCATTTGCAAGAAAGTTTCTGCAAATGCTTAAGAAGTCTAGATGCATAAAGGAAGGTAGGGCTAAGTTACTTCCTGGTGCTATGAAACTGGCAATTGGACAGGTGCAATTGTGGGTGTCCTTTTTTTTTTTTAAGGTGTACTTATTGCAGGCTTGAAAAGCTGTTGATCCTCATGGGTTGGTTGGGTGCATGTTCTCTTTAAAAACAAGATCTATTGATTCCCATTGTTGAGTATACTTTGCTGCTTGCTACTGGTGAGACTGATAGGCGGATATCCAAAAAGTTTGGATACCAAATTAACTGCACTTGAGTTTCCAGTGACCCCATTAAATCCAATGGGTAAATTTTCCAACGCAGTGTAGTCACCCAATTTACAGATTAAGCCTTCATATCCTTAGATTGTATCTGAAATCTTCATAGCGTTGCTCACCTTTTAGGGTTCAGAGTTACTACCCATTCAGAGTCTGTGGCCTTTAGCTGTTGGCAAGCTTCTAAGTGAACTGCTCTTTTGCAGAGATCTGTACCCGCTCTATTCTTCCACTCCTGGGTGGTGGAGAGCCAAAGTTCACTTGAGTAATGCGCGTGCCCAGCATCCACTAACCCTGCAGGGGTTAGCACGGGTACTGGCGGCTCCCCCCACCCCCATGGGATGCTGGGATTTGGTTTTTAAGAGGACCTGTGAAAGGAATTACCGATCTATATTTGTATGAGTCCAGACACCACCTTGCAAAATAATTGAGAGTTCAGCCTGTTTGCTGTGGAGTTTCTGCTTTTCACGGTCCTTGGCCTCACCGACGGTTTACAGTCCAGCCAGATTTAGTTCACAAAAAAACAAAACCCTAGGTCGACCTCACTGCAGTGTGTGATGGCAGCGATGGTTTTAAAGCGCAGGACCTGTAGTCTGCTCAACAGTTTTGTCTAAAGTTGTCCAAAAGTGTCTCTTTAAAAGTGAGGTGATCCAGTCGGTAAACGCTTTGAAAAAGAATAGCTGTTCCCTGAGCGGACCTTAGTCGCGTGTGGGGTCGACGCCCATTATTGCGTGCGTTCGGATCGAGGCGCGGGCCTGTGAGGGAGCGCCTCGGACCGGGCCGGGGCGGGGCGGGGCTGGGCTGTCCTCCCGGAGCGTGCTGGGGCGCGTCGCGCCGGCCTTGGCCGCTAGTGCGCCTGCGCGGGCGTCCTCGGCTCCAGCTGCCGCCAGTTTCCACACGAATTTCCACACGCTGGGAAGTCCGTTACCTGAGAGAGATCCATGGCCAGCATGTCGGATGAAAAAGCTTCCCGGAAGGGAGACGAGGAGAAAGAAGAGGAGCAGCTCGCGATCATCCCCGGTAGCGAGTACGCGGCAAAGCAGGCGGCGGAGGAGGGAGCGCCCACGAAGTTGGAAGTGGCGGTGAGGGCGGCGGGCTACTCCGACGACCTCAGCTCCGGGGAAGCCGACATTGACCCAATGCTCTTGGAGCTCGCCGCTGACGAGGAGAAGTGCCGCAGCATCCGCAGGCAGTACCGGCAGCTCATGTACTGCGTGCGGCATAACCGGGAGGACATCGTGAACTCGGCGAGCGACTCCTTAACGGAGGCTCTGGAGGAAGCCAACGTCCTGTTTGATGGCGTGAGCCGAACCAGAGAAGCAGCCCTCGATGCCCAGTTTCTTGTGATGGCTTCTGATTTGGGTAAAGAAAAGGCAAAGCAGCTAAACTCGGACATGAACTTCTTCAATCAGGTAGCATTTTGTGACTTCCTGTTTGTGTTCGTGGGTCTGAATTGGATGGAAGGTGAGCCTGACGACTTGAGTGGCTATGACGACGATATAACCCTTTCCTTCTGGGAGGCCATAGAAAAGGAAGCAGCATCCTGGATGGTACAAGCAGAAACATTCCATTTCGTTTTCGGTTCTTTCAAGCCACAACCTTCTGCACCAAAGCCCCGACTTGAACACCAGAGAAAAGTTCGCAGAATGGAAGAAAATGGGAATATGCCTACAAAGTTGAGGAAGTTAGACCTGAGTAGTTACCCAGAAGCGACCGAAGAAAACGTAGAAAGGATTTTGGGATTGTTGCAAACCTACTTTCGAAAGTATCCTGATACTCCTGTGTCCTATTTTGAGTTTGTGATTGATCCAAACTCTTTTTCTCGTACTGTGGAGAATATATTTTATGTTTCTTTTATTATAAGAGATGGTTTTGCAAGAATAAGGCTTGATGAAGACAGGCTGCCAATATTAGAACCGATTAATATTAACCAAATGAGTGAGGGAAATGATTCCAGTTGCCATGGCAGGAAACAGGGAGTTATATCTTTGACTTTACAGGATTGGAAGAATATTGTGGCAGCTTTTGAAATTTCTGAGGCTATGATAAACTCCTCATGCTAAAGATTTCTTGGTATAGGATCCTTTTTGTGTTTTTTTTTTTTCCGAAGTTCTCTGAGAGAGTTAAATCTAAACTGAAACACATATTGTATCTCTTGTAAGCTGAAAACATATATTTGAAAACATTGTTTTACTGTGCAGCATAGTTTTCTTAATAATTTGTAAGGCCACGATGTTCTGTTATTTAAAAAAAAATTTCGCTGGCATATTAATGAGAATGTTTTATTGAATGCCCTTTAAGACTATTTTAATAAAAAGTTTTGGATACCAAATTAAAGAATATTTGATAATTTACAAAACATAATAATTTATGAAAACCAGTTATGATGCTCTGTGATAAGGTGTTGCTTTCTCTGTTACAGGGAAGCAAGAGAATCCCAAAAAGGATTTCTTACCAGGTTGGGGAAAGAGTGGGTAAAAAACAAAAGTCAAAAAAACCCTGTCTGTAATGCAGTGAATAGGTACCATTATGACTAAAAAAGTCATTGCAAAGAGGACTTAACACTTGTGAGTGAGGGCCGGGTACGGTGGCCGACGCCTGTAATTCTAGCATTTTGGGAGGCCGAGGCCAGTGGATCACCTGAGATCAGGAGTTCGATAACAGCCTGAAACCCCTGTCTCTACTAAAAATACAAAAGTTAGCTGGATGTGGTGGCAGGCTCCTGTTATCCCAGCTACTCAAGAGGCTGAGGCAGGAGAATTGCTTGAACCCAGGAGGTAGAGGTTGCAGTGAGCCCAGGTTGAGCTGTTGCACTTCAGCCTGGGCGACAGAACAAGACTCAAAAAAAAGATTTGTGAGTGAGTATCCATATTCCAATTTCTCCTATTACTGGACTCAGCAAAAGTAGTATCTCTACTGAGTAGTATCAGCTAAGGGCTGAAAGGTGAGTAGAAACACAAGGAAGGGAAAGGCATTCTAGGCAGAAGAATAACAAGGTCAAATGCATGGAATTTTTTTTTTTTTTTTTTGAGATGGAGTTTCACTGATGTTACCCAGGCTGGAGTGCAATGGCTCGATCTCGGCTCACCGCAACCTCCGCCTCCCAGGTTCAGGCAATTCTTCTGCCTCAGCCTCCTGAGTAGCTGGGATTACAGGCACGCACCACCATGCCCAGCTAATTTTTTGTATTTTTAGTAGAGACGGGGTTTCACCATGTTGACCAGGATGATCTCGATCTCTTGACCTCGTGATCCACCCGCCTTGGCCTCCCAATGTGCTGGGATTACAGGCTTGAGCCACCGCGCCCGGCCACATGGAATTGTCAACAGCACAAGAGACCTGTTAGATTTATGGAAAAACTATTATATTTGAATGTTAAGCTGGGCAAGAATTGAATAACTTCATCTTTTAGTATCCTCAGAAAATGTTTTTGTCTAACTATTATACTTTGAACACAAAATCTTTTGGTATCCAGTTGTAGTTTTTAATCTACTGAACTTCTGCTCCGGTCCCTAGTGTCCCTTTGTTGTCTTTGCTAGTACACAGAATGTCCTTCAGAACTGTGGTGTTTCATCATGTAACAACTTTAAATATTTGTCCTACTTCAATTTTGCATTTCTTTTGTTTTGTTTTGTTTGCTTTTTGAGATGGAGTCTCGCTCTGTCACAGGCTGGAGTGCAAGCTATCTCGGCTCACTGCAACCTCTGTCTCCTGGGTTCAAGCAATTCTCTGCCTCAGCCTCCCGAGTAGCTGGGATTACAGGCACCCACCACCATTCCCAGCTAATTTTTGTATTTTTAGTAGAGACGGGGTTTCACCATGTTGGCCAGGCTGGTCTTGAACTCTTGACCTTGTGATCTACCCTAGGCCTTGGCCTCCCAAAGTACTGGGATTGCAGGCGTGAGCTACCGTGCCCAGTCTTTTTTTTCTTTGAGACAGTCTCTCTTGCTGCCCAGGCTGGAGTGCAGTGGTAGGATCACGTCTCACTGCAACCTGTGCCTCCTGGGTTCAGGCAATTCTCATGTCTCAGCCTCCCAAGTAGCTGGGATTACAGGTGCATGCCATTATACCCAACACATTTTTGTATTTTTAGTTTGAACAGGGTTTCGCCATGTTAGCCAGCCTGGTCTCCAACTCCTGGCCTCAGGTGATCCTCCCACCTCGGCCTCCCAAAGTGCTGGGATTACGAGTGTGAGCCAAATTTTGCAATTTTTTTTTTTTTTTTTTT